TCCTTGGTCCCGCGCAGGCCGCGATGGTCGCGCAGCCAGTCGAGCAGGGTCGTCATCGGCGAGAGGCCGGCGACGTCCACGAGCGTGTCGTTGAGTGTGAAGCGAATGTTATCCGCCATGCGAACAGGATGCGGGGCGTTGAAGTGCGACGCAACCCGTGTTGCACTCCTCATGCCAACTAAAGGAAAAATACGGATGGATCCCTACCGTTTCGGCTATTCCCCGATCGTCGAACGACCGAAACTTTCCTGGCCCAACAATGCGCGCGTGGCGGTCTGGGTCTGTCCAAACATCGAGCATTACGAATATATTCCGGCCGAGGTCCGCGTGCGCAATCCGTGGCCGCGCATGCCGCATCCCGACGTGCTGGGCTTATGGCGGCCGCGACTACGGCAACCGCGTCGGCCTGTGGCGCATGTTCGAGGTGCTGGACAAGCACAGCATCCGCTGCACCGTCTTCGCTCTCGATGTCGGTGATCGAGATGTATCCCGAGATCCTCGAAGGCCATGGAAGCGCGCCGCTGGGAATATATGAGCCACGGCTACTTCAACACCCGCTATCACTGGGGCTACGAGGAACAGGAAGAACGCGAGGTCATCGAGCACAGCAAGGCGACGCATCTGCGCCTCACCGGCCGCAAGCTGCGCGGCTGGTTCTCGCCCGCTGTTTCCAACACGCTGAACACGCCCGATCTCGTGAAGGAAGCCGGCCTCGACTATTTCTGCGACTTCTATCACGACGACCAGCCGACCCCGCTCGCCACCAAACACGGGCCCGCTGATCCACGTCCCCTACTCGATGGACCTCAACGACGCGATGATCTACCGCCAGCCGGTCGAGGCGGAGGAATTCGCCCAGATGATCATCGACCATTTCGACACGGTCTATCGCGAGGGCGGCGAGAACGGCCGCGTCATGTGCCTGGCGCTGCATCCCTACATGATGGGCGCGCCGCACCGGCTGAAGCATCTCGATCGCGCGCTGTCCTACATCCGCAAGCACAAGGATGCCTGGGTCTGCACCGCCGAGGAAATCCACGACTGGTATGTCGCCAACGGGCTGAAACCCTACCAGCAGCATCTCGGAAAGGACGCCTGACATGAGCGCCCCCGTTTCCAAGAACCCGCCGCCGCTGCCCGCCGGGATGGACAATCCCTGGTACGATTACGCCCCCTATCCGAAGCGGCCCAAGCTCAACTGGCCGCGCAACGCCCGCGTCGCCTTCTATGTCGTGCTGCATCTCGAATACTACGAGCTGCTGCCGCCCGACGGCGTGGTGAGGGACAGCCGCTTCACCGGCGAGTTCGGCACCTATCATCCCGACTACCGCACCTGGACGCAGCGCGAATACGGCAACCGCACCGGCATCTTCCGCGTGCTCGACGTGCTCGACCGTTATCAGATCCGGGCCGGCGTGGCCGTCAATTCGATGGCG